AATTTAAAAAAATAAATTTTCTAAACTTACTCTAACTAATAATGGAAAATCTCTCCAGAATTCTATATTTGGTATCGTTTCACTGCCTTCAGCTTTACGTACAAATTTCAAAAATAAAAAACCACCTAACCAATACACGATCAATAACACGAAAAATCTGCAAAATCAAATTCAAATCCATGCGCTTCTTCAAGATTTTGGTCAAAATAAGATTTCAATTTCGCTTTGTTGTCGTTATATTTTTATTGGTCTCATATGTAATCTAACGAGATTTATACCAAAGTCGTGTTCTGGTGCCATTTTAAGCAGCAGGGTTGTTGATTTGGCTTTATTTGCCGGACATGAATGGCTGGGACAGCTCAAATGGCCGGAAGACAATTTCCCCTTTGGGACATCAAGTATAGGTTTAGCCATTACCTGGCATTCAATGTCTGTAAAAATTCGTCGGACATGACCAACAGAACAGCACAAATAACCGAAAGAGAATTTCCCCTTTCAGACATCAGGTATAGGTTAGCCATTACCTGGCATTCAATGTCTGTAAAGGTTTGCCGGACATGACCAACAGAACAGCACAAATGACCGGAAGAGAATTTCCCCTTTCAGGCATCAGGTATAATGTCTGCAAAAGTTTGCCGGACATGACCAACAGAACAGCACAAATGACCGGAAGAGAATTTCCCTTTTCAGACATCAGGTATAGGTTAGCCATTACCTGGCATTCAATGTCTGTAAAGGTTTGCCAGACATGACCAACAGAGCAGCACAAATGACTGTAAGAGAATTTCCCCTTTCAGGCATCAGGTATAATGTCTGCAAAAGTTTGCCGGACATGACCAACAGAACAGCACAAATGACCGGAAGAGAATTTCCCCTTTCAGGCATCAGGTATAATGTCTGCATAAAATTGCCGGACATGACCAACAGAACAGCACAAATGACCGGAAGAGAATTTCCCCTTTCAGACATCAGGTATAGGTTAGCCATTACCTGGCGTTCAATGTCTGTAAAAATTCGTCGGACATGACCAACAGAACAGCACAAATGACCGGAAGAGAATTTCCCCTTTCAGGCATCAGGTATAATGTCTGCAAAAGTTTGCCGGACATGACCAACAGAACAGCACAAATGACCGGAAGAGAATTTCCCCTTTCAGACATCAGGTATAGGTTAGCCATTACCTGGCGTTCAATGTCTGTAAAAATTCGTCGGACATGACCAACAGAGCAGCACAAATGACTGTAAGACAATTTAATGTGATGGAGTAGGACTGTTGACTTCACTTTTGGCAAACATCATGTTAATATCAGTGCTGCAGGCTATAGACCTTCTCTCACAGGGAAATTGAGATCAAATTTAGGCAGGCAAAAATATAAATCAACAGCCCTGTATAGCAGACAATCAAAATCTCTTTTACAAGCGAGTATCCGCAATCTCATTGGTCATAGGACACTACTTTGGGTTTCTCTATCCCACAAATCATAGTCGATATTTAGACGCGCTGTGATTGGTTGAAATAAACGACACCAGTACGCGACCTTGGTTTAAATCTTGTTAGATCACAACGGAGACCGAAAACAAAAATAAAATGTTGGAACTGAAAGAGATCATGTAGATTCCAATTCACATTTCACTTACAATGATACCTACAACAGTGACAACACATTGATTGAATTGTAGTTGAACCAGTTGTCTGATTTTGAGTTAGAAAGTGCTACAGTTAAAGGGAAATTATATGAAATCTTCTATCAAATTCGGACATTTTTGGTTTCCATGGCAACCACTATAAATAAAGTCTACTTAGAAAATAACTTAAAACCAATCGATAAATTTTAAAAAAAAAATCAAAAAATGGACTAATGGTACAAACTTTTCTCAAGTCCTATCAAATTCGGAACATTTTTGGTTTCCATAGCAACCATTATAAATAAAGTCTACTTACATAATAACTAAAACAGAACCAGTACTCAGATCACCACTACTTCCACCAGAATATTTACACGCAATTTTAGTTTTTAAAAGAAATTTCTACAAATGAAATCAAAGTTGATATTTATTATTTGATTTGGCTAATGAAGACGGAGAATACCATGCAGTATCCAATGAGGGAAATTTTGTCAGGACATCTGCATTAGCATACTCTTTATGGTTTTAAACGTGTACAGCCTGTAGTACACGGGGCCTCAGTTTATTGTCCCATCCCAACAACTAGACACTTTTTCCATGTCAGTCCCTCTTTACGGTTTCCTGTCGAGTTTAAGGTCCTACTTTTCTACTGTTCTCCGTCAGGGAAATTTGCGGGAAACAGCAGCAATAGTATAGTCACAATGAGGGAAATTAGCCTACTCTTTTCGATTTCCAACTGTCGAGGGATTTAAACGTGTACAGTCTGTAGTACACTGGGCCTCGGTTTATTATCCCATCTGAACAACTGGACACTTTTTCTATTTCCAACTGTCGAGGGATTTAAACGTGTAAAGTCTGTAGTACACTGGGCCTCGGTTTATTGTCCCATCTGAACAACTAGACACTTTTTCGATTTTCAACTGTCGAGGGATTTAAACGTGTACAGTCTGTAGTACACTGGGCCTCGGTTTATTGTCCTATCTGAACGACTAGACACTTTTCCGATTTCCAACTGTCGAGGGATTTAAACGTGTACAGCCTGTAGTACACGGGGCCTCAGTTTATTGTCCCATCTGAACGACTAGACACTTTTTCGATTTCCAACTGTCGAGGGATTTAAACGTGTAAAGTCTGTAGTACACTGGGCCTCGGTTTATTATCCCATCTGAACAACTGGACACTTTTTCTATTTCCAACTGTCGAGGGATTTAAACGTGTAAAGTCTGTAGTACACTGGGCCTTGGTTTATTGTCCCATCTGAACGACTAGACACTTTTTCGATTTTCAACTGTCGAGGGATTTAAACGTGTACAGTCTGTAGTACACGAGGCCTCAGTTTATTGTCCCATCTGAACAACTAGACACTTTGATTTCCAACTGTCGAGAGATCTTTAACGTGCTCAGTCTGTAGTACACGGGGCCTCGGTTTATTGTCCCATCTGATAGACTAGACACTTTTTCCATGTCAGCCTTTTCGACCAGCTTCACTGACAGGGGGTAGACAAATCTAAAGGTTCTTGATGGACAAAGATACAGTTAACATTAAAACTTACATAAGTCATTTGGGGGTTTTCTTCGATATAAGATAATATTCCACTTTCATTTTCATCACATTTAACATCTACATGTGTTATTCTAAATAAAAACAATTATTCTGTATGAAATAACACAGTAGGATTGTCGTCTGCTAGAACATTGGAATAGCTCAGTCAGTAGTGAGTTGGATGGTCATCTGCTAGGACAGTGGAATAGCTCAGTCAGTAGTGAGTTGGATTGTCGTCTGCTAGGACAGTGGAATAGCTCAGTCAGTAGTGAGTTGGATTGTCGTCTGCTAGAACATTGGAATAGCTCAGTCAGTAGTGTTTGATTGTCGTCTGCTAGAACATTGGAATAGCTCAGTCAGTAGTGAGTTGGATTGTCATCTGCTAGGACAGTGGAATAGCTCAGTCAGTAGTGAGTTGGATTGTCGTCTGCTAGGACTGTGGAATAGCTCAGTCGGTTGTGAGTTGGATTGTTTTCTGCTAGAACATTGGAATAGCTCAGTCAGTAGTGAGTTGGATTGTCGTCTGCTAGGACATTGGAATAGCTCAGTCAGTAGTGAGTTGGATTGTCGTCTGCTAGGACATTGGAATAGCTCAGTAGGTAGCGAGTTGGAATGTCATCTGCTAGGACAGTAGAATAACTCAGTCAGTAGTGAGTTGGATTGTCGTCTGCTAGGACAGTGGAATAGCTCAGTCAGTAGTGAGTTGGATTGTCATCTGCTAGGACAGTGGAATAGCTCAGTCAGTAGTGAGTTGGATTGTCGTCTGCTAGGACAGTGGAATAGCTCATTCGGTTGTGAGTTGGATTGTCGTCTGCTAGGACAGTAGAATAACTCAGTCAGTTGTGAGTTGGATTGTCGTCTGCTAGGCGATTAGGAGCCATTGGTCGACATTTCTAGTACTTCTGAAGACAATTTACAAGACACAAATCAACCCCCAAAAATGGCGTATCTGTCCCCCTAAGGTCCAGTCAATTCTGCCACTAACCTATCTTTAGAACCATCATTAAATTCATATCTTAAAGTTAGAGTATTAGTATCAGGATCACCACTGTACCCAATATTAACATCGCCCAATTTATAATATGCTGTACCATCTTGTTGGCAAACCTGAAAAATGTAAACAAAAATACAAAACATGTTTTCATTTGCATCAGGGACACTGATAGTTTCAATTTACATCATTCTAATTTTCAATCAGACATCTGTGGTTCCTGCAATTCCACTATAACTAGGTGTTTGATGACGTCCCCAATCGTGAAATTTGCTTTGCAATTAGTGACGTCATTATAGTTTTCAAAGAGCGAACTTACCGTAGCATCTTGACAGCTAGCAAAACTAAAATCTA